TTCTACATCGTCACATCTATAGTACGCGAATTTTCCTGTTTTTTCCAAGTCTGATGAATGAAGAAGACGAAGTAATATTTTTAAGACCTCGTCATATTCAGTATCGGCAAACGGCCGAGTTCGCGAGGGAAGGCTTCAGATTAGGCTTCCGTGTCGCTGATTAGCCCTTGCAGCATATCGTGGAGGAAAAGCAAGTTGATGGCGCAACTGTTGGTTGGGTTTGGGGACAATGAAGTCCAAAGGTAGTGCCTTTGAGGCTCTGGAGCAAGGATACGGAGCAATATATAACTAATTGCTGCATACGAAGTCACGCCATTTCTGACTCACGGTCCTCAACTGGAGAAATTTTACGAAGCGTATAGGACTTTCCACTATTCCAGTACCGAACCTTACAGCCTCGTGATAGTTAGCTGATGCAGATTTGGTATCTAGACGACCTTTAATAAGATTTCCAACTGACAGCGAGTCATGGGTCAGTGCGTTTATAATGCCATCGCAGCAGAGTTGCACGGAGTGCTAAATGTAGTCCTCAGTTACCAACCAGTCAGCATAGTCTTCAGCCGCGAATCTCGCTTCTGCCTGATGATGTCTACGCGTAAGGATATGGAGACGACGCGCCCACCGGGCCTATGCTTCTACAACTTCGAAGCGACAAATGGTCAGTTAAAGTGGAACAGAGGTTTGGAGTGCCATAGATAACCTCGTATCTCTATGCGCGTTACAGACGCATTACAGGCCTTTGTATTAATAGTGTGCTGCTCTCTAAACTTCTTCCGTTTTATCAGAACATCCTAAATGCTATTTTTAACACACACTATTCGGATAAATTTGAATGCATTACAAGATGCGCACGTGTGTTATTGGCTAACCTGATGCCTAGATCTCTTTCCACTTGAGTATTTGTGAGACATGAATGGGCGCCAATTGAATATCTCCACTCCTCCATTAAATGAAAATGAATTGCGGGGTCTCATAAAAAAACACATTGTACACAATACTACATATCATGTTTCAAATCGGACCCATCAGCAGCCGAGCGGTAAAGTCGCTGAACACCGCTAATTCAGGCCAGGTTTCGAATCTCGGAGAACGTGCTGGCTGCATGGGTGTTTTCGTAGTTTCCCTCATGTGTAATGTGCATACGAGCCAGTTTCCCGTAGAAAGTCCTCCAAGAAGGCATCCCTTCCCTTAAGCAGCTAGCCCTCGAAAGCTTTCTTATTATCAAATAAACCAACCAAACCAGCCAACCAAGTTTCTAACACCCATTGGTTCGATTCAGCGAAAGGTTCAAAAACCTATTGCCTTAAATAGGGCTGTAAAGTCCTATTTATGCCCTGTACTTGCCTCTAAATACTTATCGCTTTTGAAATCTAAATCATTTGTTAAGAGCTTGATTACCTATTCTATGTGCAAAGTTTGCACTGCTTCCAATAATTATTTCATCGTGTTGCATATTCTCTCTTAGTTTGTATGCTTATCTTGTACCACCGTTTCATGTTATATTAATGAAGAAAAAGATTTTAAATACGCAAGTAAAATAATGCCAAACTTAATTTTACTTCCCCTAGAAAAACTAACAACTAATCCAGACAAATTCAATCCGGATAACTGGAGTTACACTGTATATTAAATCTGAAAGCAATAGATTCTTGGATAAAACAACTCATGAAATTACTTTGTTTAGCGAAAGATGGAAACTAACCTTAGTTTGATCAAGCTCTGATAATATGATAATTAGCCAGCTAATGATGCCCCAGTGATTGATTTTCTTCAGAACCTAAAATTCGATTTTCATGTAAATGTATTCTCGTGTACCTTACTGTTCCTTTTAATTGTAAAAATAGAAAGTGAAATAGGTATTGATTTTATTTGCTTAATTGTAACAGCTTAGATCTTGGGAATCGATGAGCGGTTTTCATATTTTAATGAAGTTATTCTGAATGAATAATGAAATTATTTTGCAAACATCAAACAGCTGATGATCATCATCTAATGCAAATTTTGTAGACAAAGTAAAGGGAAGTAAATAGCCTCAAAACGGATTATTTTGTCGATAATTTATTTACGTAGTTTCTCCACAGTTTCTTACTTGACAAAGAGTTTTCCTTCAATCTATTGTTTCTGATTTTCAATCAACTCCCGATGTATCAAATAGCTAATTTAATGTTTTTTTTTAATCCAGTTCTTATTATTAGACGTACTAGAATTCATATTTGTGTTAGTTTCGGATTCAGTCAGCTAGCCTATATTTCTTAATATGTAAATAAATTAATGTAAAAGCAAATATTCTTACATACCTTTGAAATTATTTTTTCAACTCTTCAAATTTAATTTTCATTACTTATATTTTATCGATATTAAAAAATAAGGTGGATTATATGTTTAGCTGCCTGAGAGAAACCAAAATGCAGCAATTAAGTGTGTCTAAATTTACGATATCTTCAAAGAAAGGCTTATTTTCGTTTTTCATATTCGTTTTCTTCATTTCTTTCTTTTGTAGCAAGAAATTCTGGCTGTAGAAGCAGCTGAAAACAAAGGTTTCCTGGCTATGCTATCTCAGGTAAGAAAATCTCCTCTCCTGCATTGCTTGAAAATCCATTTAAATGAGGGCACTATGGGGGAAAGAACCGTAAAGAATTCACAACTTAAGATACTTTAAAAAAAATATATAACTTATGTTAAACCACCAACATATCAAAAATCCTACAATGTTAATTTGGGCGCTGACTACAGAAGGGATTTCAGATTTGTGCGCCGGCTTCAATCAATATTTCGATGCATACTTGAGAGTAAAATATTTTTGAATTTTCTATAGTGCTTCCTATGTAAATTATATCTCCTATTTAACTACATTCAAATTACCTGCTCTAGAAAAATAAGGTAGTTTGTAGACTTTTAACAAAGAAAAGATTATTTAAAATAAATAGACCAAAAACTTTAATATATTTAATCTGAATTTTGTTTGAAAATTATATCTGAGATTTGAAGAAGGAACTCTTAGTAAAAATGCTTGAAATGTGTTTCTTCAATACTTGTCAAAAAGTAAAAACTTTCGTCAAGGGATTGGTTTTTAAATGCATATTGTTTCTTTAAACGTCAGAAATTAGATGACTAAAAAATGTCTGTTAATTCCCGAGTCAAATGGTTTTCATTGTTATAGAGGTTTGTGGTTGATTTTAATTATGAATATATTTTTAAAAAGGCAGGCAGGCAGTCTCTTATAAAAATAAGATATAATTAAGAAGAAAAAATATCCTATAATTGCAATAAACATTTTTCAATTTTTCTTACACATTTGTGATTATATTTTAGTAAGGAAATATTAAATCTACAGTTTGAAATTTATTTTACGGTACAATTCTGTACCTCTTTCTGTATTTACATCTTTGTACATATTCTAGATATTTGCTTGTTTACATAAGAACGAGTTAATGTGTGTATATTTACATGCAATACAAGAGAAGATAAGTATGTATAAATAAATATACACACATTATGCATAATTTATACGTAATTACTACGTATAATATAGGAAGAGATAGAGAAAGAGGGTACGTACGTAAATTTGATTTTCTGTTTTTCTTTATATCTAAAATTTCGATTTTTAATGCCTTTTACGATTTTTCTTAGAGAGAATGGAAATGAGCAAAATATTTATAATTTTATCTAAATTTTGATAATTTTAAGCATCGAAATTTTGAAATTCAAGCAAAAATTCCAGAAAAAGGGATAAATTAAATGCATAATGTAAAGTATAATCTAGAAACTAACCCAATATAACAGTTAAGCTAAATAACATCTTATCTCTTATCTTGATTAATGCAGGCGTCGCATAGATTTATATAATATATTTTATCCACTTAAACGCATGTAGCTTCTCGCAGCACAAGAGAATTTGACAATAAGGAAAGCAAATACCTTATAGGCTCATAACATGTACCACTTTTTATCCAAAACTTTCAACACAAATACCCATGTGAGTAATACACGAATCACTCATTCAAAGTTGCACTTATTCTTCCCGTGTTACCTCTTGAAAGACAAAACATGTAAAATTAGAAAAATCGAAATTTCGATAATTAAATGCTTTATACAATAAATTAAAATTTCTTCTCAACTTTAGACTACTTTTTTCAAAATTTGTAATAATAAAATACGTTCATCAACAGCAGGTTTTAATATTTATTTTAATGCATTATCTGAAGTAAATTTTACTACATACATTGTCGTAAAGCACATGCAAACACGCACTGTTTATAGAATTTACTACAGCAATGTTTGTTTTCCGATCACTCATCATCCTACGAACAATCGCTCTGTCTGCAGTTTTCGCTTTTGTGATCAAGAAAATGTTTTACCTTTTCCACAGGTCATTTTCAATTGCATCCAATAAATTTTAGTTACCCGTTGCTTTAATTTTTTTCAAATAATTTCTTTACACATGTTTCAGATCACGCACACAGCAAGATCGCAGTCTACACACCTGTTTTTCTGAACTCGCATAATAACTTTATATAGCACTTTCTCCTTCAAGAAAATACTTGTAGAGGCATTGCAATGATCAATGCTGTTTTCTTATATTCCTCCCTGAAAATCAGACTCGTATACCACTAGACCATACAGGATATATTATCCAGTAAGGATAACTGGCGAAAGTTGTTTCCGTAATTTTATGCTCTAAACAAAGAAAACGACAAATGTTACTAATGTCTTTCAGATAAATAAAAGCGAAAGTTATAAGAACGTTTTACAAGATTCTTTTCAGAGTCGGTTTTCTCGAGTAGTAATCCTAGATATATAACATATATCTATAATCCTTCGTGAAATGAATTCTTCACTTTCCTTTAAACTATTCGTAAATACAAATAAAGTACATTTTGAATAATCAACACTAAATGGAAGTTACAGAATAGAGAATGCAAAGAATGCAACAGAGTTAACTATGCTCTATTTTTCAAAATAGTAGTAAGTATATTTCTTAATGATATATCCATTTTAAAATGATAGTGCTAGTAGTAGAGTAAAAACGTTTTTAAGATCATCGCGCTAGTAGTAGATCATAGTTCCGCAGTAAACCTTGCTCTACAATCAGTTTCAAAATTAAAGTTTTCAAAATTTGCACTTCTTAAATAAATTTTTCTATAATATTGAAGAAATAATTTCCATAATGTGTACAGTTCCTTTAAAAGGTCAAGAAAGTACGGTTTTTATGTTTAGAGAAATAAAAAAAGATATAAGCATCCTAGCAATATCAACGGAAAGAAAAACAAAACCTGGAAGATTAACATATTCATAAAATTAGATTTTGAGAGAAACGCAAAAGTCCAGTTAACTTTCATTAACTAATTTTCAGTTATCATAGTTAATTTCCAGTCTTAGCATATCAGGTAGAATTACAAGGTGGACAAAATAAAACTGACTCAGAAATTCTGATACGCAGTTTACCCCTGTTAATGAACAGGAGAGCTTCCTTTCTCAAAAAATACTGCCAATGGTAACCGTTGATGTCGATGAAGAGCTTCACTTTTAATACGAATAGTACTGTTAGGCTCTCCTGAATACAAATACTTGTGCTTCGGTTAACACTCAACCATGAATATCTGATGTTTTACCGTTAGCACCATTTTGTGTTACATTCAGTTGATCACTAAGCATGTTTATAGCTCTCACTTTAACTGCTCACTAGGTACATCTACGCATCTCACACAAGCAATTGTTTGCTGTCACATGCGAGTGTATGCTCCTCTCAAACCCGTTGTGTCTGTCCCAACTTCTAATGATATGTTTGCTGTTTAGAGTGCGTTTTCAAAAAATCCAGAAATCACTTTTCTATGCCAGTTTTGTTTTGGCCACTTTATAGTGAAATCTAAATCAGAGCCTGAAACAAATTGTTAGAATACAAATACAGTCCTGAAGCACACAATTTTTAAATATATAGTTTGTATCTATTATATTCAAACTAGGGATTTCTCCGCCCAAAAAAAAAAAAAAAGAAAAGTAACAGAAAAAATATTGCAACTCGCAGTCTGAGAGCATAATAAATAAATAATTCACGTAATTACATAACAGTAACACGTAGAACTTCTAATTATATTAAAATAACTTGACATCAAAATTAGACTTTCTAGAAGTCTTTCGAGTAACTAGAAGTATTGTCAGCAAGTGAACAGATGGCAGCCACATGCGAGGAATTTTCTCGCAGAGACTTATAACTTCATTACTAATCAGTGAATTAGTTACTTTAAATCTTTTTATAATTCTTGTTATAAATTTGACTCCTTTTCTTACTACTGAAGGGAGGAGCCAAAATGAGATGAAAAATTCAGGTATAAAACAATTAGCCTGTTTACATCATAGCAAACACTGAGTGATTTTTTAAACGTTTATCCTCCAAATGCTTTCAGATTAGGTCGAACAGCTCTGTCGCAATTAATTTACTGTTTCATTAGTTTCGCAAAATTTTATTTTAATCCTGGAAGGAAGAGATGACGGCTTTAAAATGTAGGGATATTTTTTAGCACTGTCGACGTTGTCTTATGTCTAAAATATTCGGTTCTGCATTTCTTTGTTCAAATTAAGAACCAATTCCCTACTCGTGCGGTCTTAATCAAATGCTTTTTATATACTTTATTAAGGAAACTCTTATCAAATCCGTTACATACCTACCGTTACATAATCCGTTACATACCTATATTGCACTACCCTCGTATTCTTCATCAGAATCACTTTGAGAGCATTTAGGATCATCAAACAACAATTTTATAATTTCATTTTTTACCAAATCAAGCTCCGACCATTTTTCGTCTAACTGTGTCAATAGGATTTCGATTTCTTCTATATCATGTACTTCTTTTCCTAAATAGTCTTCCAATTTATTAGATATTCGTCTAAAAACACTTCTTAAAGGAGTACTTAATTTCTTTAGACCGACCATTTTTAGAGCTTATAAATAATCATGCAATAAATACAGTGAATAAATTCTTTACGCCCGCCCACCCGGGGCCGACATTCGAAGAAGAGCTCATTCTAGTATATTCCGTATGTAGTATCTTTCCAATTTCACGCCCACTATAATATTTTCTGAGAATTTTTTTTACAGTTCATTCAATTTTAAATAATTTTCCCTATGCATAATTTACTATTTTCTTCATATTTAAATTTTAATGCAAGATTTTGACTTTCGGAGACAAATTGCAAAAAGGGCTGTCAATTATATTTTTTGCGCAAGTTTCCTGCGTATAACTCCTGCATCCGTAGGTATAACTCCTGCGTATAATTCCTGCTGTTCTTTTTAGATGCAAATGCGTACAGTCTGCGATGGGACGTAGGCAGTATTAATCTACACGCAGGAAACCTGCGTATAGATTAATTTAATTTTGCTTCAACATGTTTCACATATTTGATATTTCAAGGAGACTTCTTCTGGACTTCTGGATTTCAAGGAGACTTGAATTCCCCTCACAACCTGTTCATAAATTGTGAAACGAAGCCTTATTACATTTTTTACAAAGTCATCAGTCGTCTCGTCCGAAAATATACATGCATTGCTGTAGCTTATCA